TACCCAACCTCCCAATCCTCATTATCGCTGATTGCATCATAATACACTCCACACATTCATCGAGAAACATATCGATCACCGCCAGTGCACATAATTTGATAGAGGTACTCCTGCTTGCTTGAAACAAGTGCGTAGCGCCAACCTCACAGTCAGACGAGTAAGCCAGATTGTAGATCATGCGCGCGTTCGTCTATTAGGCTAAAGACTATTTACATGAACAGCTTGCGCTTCGCATCAGCCACGGCTCTTGATGATGCTCGCAGCCTTCTCGCCGACAGCATACATCGTCGACTGGATGTGCTGGGAGGGAATAAGAGGGAGGATGGAAGCATCGACAATGGACAGTTTCTCGACGCCATAGAAGAGAAGCTCATCGGACACACAACCACCCATATCCTCAGGTAGCATAGCACAACTGCCGGAAGGATGCGAAAGTGTCGGCCAAATGCTTCCCTGCTCATTCATCTTGTTGATGATCTCATCATCGGTCGTGTACTGGGCTCCCGGTGTCGTCTCGACTGGGGTGTACTTTGCCAGTTCTGGGCCCGCCCAAACCTTACGGATATAACGGACGCATGCAGCAAGAACAGCTTTGTCAATGGGGTTGCTGAGTGCATTGTAGAAGATTTGTGGTGGTCCTTGAGGGTCGGTTGCGTTGATCATGATGGTACCACGAGAAACCGGTTTCTCCAAGCCAACGAGCATGTAGCCGCCTGAGGATGGGACGGGGTACTCTACTACAGCGGCCTTTTCGTTTTGGAAAATGTCAGCGAGGACTTTGCGCTGTGCTGCAACACCCTTGAGCAGCTTCGCATTGTTTTTGTAGATCGACGGCAAATGCGCGTCATTCTCCTGGGCAAGCACCCGTTCCGCAATACTGTCGTAGTTTTCGGGATCCACTACCGGAAGCGGCATCATGGCTAGACTGTTGCCACGAGCCTGAGTCAGCGGTCCAGTCTTGTTGGCACGGTACTCTTCCCACGCTGAAGCATTGTACGCCGGGTCTGTGGTCAAGGAGAACCCGTTCGGGGTGCTGCCACCGGTGACATTCCACCCAACGCCAGTATACGGATGGTCTTGGAAATTCGAACCCACGCCGTCATGTTCAAGCTTTACGGTGATGCCAGCAGCCTCAATTGCGGCTCTTGGTCCGATACCGCTGTTTTGGAGAAGCTTTGGTGTGTTTACGGCACCCTGAAAGCGAGAATGACAAGTCAGTATATGCGCAATTCTGCAGGCAGCTTGACATTTTACTTACCGCAGCTAAGATAACCTCTTTCTTCGCAAAGTAGGTCTTGGTTGAGCCGGTCTTCTTGTCGGTGATCTTTACGCCCTTTGCTGTGAGGGTTTTGTTGCCGTCGAACACGAGTTCAGTCGCGAGAGACTCCAGTATGACCTTCAAGTTCGACCGGCTCATGATCGGATCATAGTACGAGTTACGGGCGTGCGTTCTTTCGCCAGTCCTGGGGTTCATGGTATTGGGGTACCATGAGGTACCGTATGCCTCGCCGTTATTTCCATCCCGAGCGGCATGCGCATTACCGGTGCTTTGGAAGGCGTCGAAAAAGTCGGTGATATCGGAGTATACTGTGTCTGTGACGCCGATCTTCAATGGACCTTTTCCGTAGCTGGACGTTACTAACGTTAGAAGCTGCTCCACGGGCAATGTTTCGCTGACTTACGCCTCGGGGTCCCAGGTAATACCGACTTGATCAATAGTCTCCTGTGGAGCTGGGATGTACTCTGTTCCCATTTTGAAAAACGGATAGATCCCCTCCCATCCCCAACCCTTGTTGCCCAACGCCTCCCAGGCATCGTAGTCTGCCGCTGATCCGCGATCATATATCATTCCGTTGACGAGAGACCCGCCTCCGAGAATCCGCGCGACACGAGTGTTCCATGTCTTATTCCCGAGGAATGGTTCTGGCTGGCACACATAGTCTGTCCACAGAAGAGAGGTATTGAGGGCATATGTGGCGCCATAAGGCATGCGGATGTTTGGGTTGTCGTCTGCTCTTCCAGCTTCAATGACAAGTACGGATTCTGTACGACCATCATGTCAGCTTTGTGTAACTCTAGATTGGTTGGTCAGTCTCACTATTCTTGTCCTCGGTCAGACGATTGGCCACGACGAGACCGGTCACACCCCCTCCAACAATAACATAGTCGTAAGTTTCCTGGGCGGCTGACAGCCCCAGCAAAGCAACGACGGCTAAGTTCCTAGGGTAAAGCATCCTGGCGAGCTGCTTCGAGGCGATACCACAAGAAGAGATTCACTTTGACGAGGGTGAAATACGCCGGGAGAGGAAGAAGGGGAGCTCTTGAGCTCTTAAACTCTCCACAAAGCCCCATATTAGCTCTTAGCATTTTTGCGGTACCTGAGCGTGCATGAGTTGTATGGATACACGAGTCGGTACACCGTTGTGGCTAAGGTCGGCAACAAAGCTCCGATACAGTTAGCAGTGAGCAGTAGATCTGGCCAGCGGGTCCTGAATTCAAGCGGCATATCAGGTCCTTGCAATTGCATGGCGCAAGATTGAAGATTGATAGAAACAGCATGGCCCCGAGATTAGGCGATCTTGGCTAGACGGCTCGGCATTGTCCCGCATTCAGGAAGTCACCCCACCCACACCAACGCCGCTCCCCTGCCTAACTCTGATTCTTTGATACTGGAGGACACCTTTGAGCGCAGACGATCCTAGTAAGTTTTGCTGACCACTATAGGTTCTCGTTTGCCTTTCCAGGCTCTTGACGGGCGAGATCGATCTTCTTGCAACGTCTTTACGCTTATACCGACTTCCGAGCAGCATTGAGATGTTCAAGTTGGAAGCAGCATTGTGGCGACTCCCAACATACCGGTAGTACGAGCAGGGTCGTGGTTTACACATATTGCGGCGCCGCTGCTGCCAAGTCGGAAGGGTCCACCGTTGTGGACCGCCGGCTCTACGAGAACTTCTCTCACCCGTTACGCCCTGTGTTAACTCTATACGTGAGGGGTCTCTAACATCTTCCTCATCAAATGCCAACAGCTGTCAGCACACAGTTTTAACCGGCTGGTTGATGCAGGTCACGAATCCTCTTTCGCCTGTTGGGCAGTCAGCATCGTCGCGGGATGGGACGGGACGGCGGGACCTTAATTGGCTCACCAGCCGACGCCCCGAGCCTCGCTTGCACGCTTGCGAAGTCTACGATGTCGAGGCATCCAACGAACGACAAGGGCTGTGTTCTCACCCTGGAGCATATGACAAGTATTGGTTGGCCGAAGCATGCCAAGAACCACGCTTCAAGGTACAAACATGAAGGAAAGAAACACGTACAGCGTGATACAGTACGCAAGAGGTGTATCTATGTCACTGCAGCTCTGCGGAACCGTCTTTGCGAACTGATCTTTCCAACTTTCGCTGACACCCGATGGAATGACGAAGTCCAAGAGATGACAGCCATACGGGCACAGTTCATACCCAGTTCTGTGGCTCTTAGCATGCATAGCTATCACATTTATTTGCAACGTGCGCCTCGAAGGATTTCAAGATGCCAGACCAATCCATGCGTTCCAGGACGATCGTATCCAGACTCGTGTATTGTTGGGTTGGCATAGTCAGCATTAAGACTGATGGTTGGATGGTTGGATGGTTGGCTAGCAGCAAGCAACTCATTCAAGTATGCTGCGGCTTACTATATCTTAGAGCGCATGCTGATACTATCATGTCTGTTGTGTGTAGAGGTCTCATGCCCATCACTACAACCTCAAGCCTGAGCCTCTTGCATAGATGACGAAAAGCAATTAGTGATGCCGCGCAAGTGCATGAATAGTATAGTCCTTACGAAATCCCGGTACAAGACTGGAGACTGCGGAGAAGCTGGAAGCGGAGAGCGTAGTAGACGCCGGGGTTCCCTGCTACTGATGGCAGATGATGAAACGCCATCCTCGCGTGAGCTATTCCGAAGAAATCCCCAGCCGATAAGATGAACGGGGCGTTCCAGCGGCCCTCCCGAGATCCTGAGGTACCCAATAGGTTCAGATGGGCGAACGGCTGGAATAAGAAGTGCCATCTTGCGCACGTTGCCAACTGATATCGCTTCTCCCTCCCTTCGGGTTCGCACTGCCTCTACGCAATATCGGCATCTGCAATGGCACCAACCGAGCAGCAGGAATGGCCAAACCGCGCGCCCGTCTTCTTAATTCCTTCGACTATATTGTGCATATTGAGTACTGCGGTACTCGTATGGCGACTTGTGTATAGTATCAGGGCTAAGCGGAAGCTTGTACTACACGATTACCTTCTCATCATTGCATCAGTTCGTCAGACCAGTAGCTTTATCAAGAAGGCAAGATTATGCTGACTAGTCTGGGCCCAGATGCTAAACGTCGCGACATCGGGTATCCGCTTCAAAACATGTCAGCATGGCCTGGGCCGTCATATTCGGGATCCTAGCATTAGGCTGCCCTACGATATGCTGAAGTACAGCTACTACCTCTGGATCACACAGATCCTAAACCTTGTTGCAGTCGCAACGCTAAAGTACTCGATTTGTGGCTACCTTCTAGCCCTTAAATTCTCACGAGTGTACCTCGCGGTGGTGTGGGCTTCGATCCTGATGGTCACTACGTTCAATCTAATTTTGCCCATCATGGGCTGCTTTTGCAGTACACCGTTCGAGGCAAATTGGAACAAAACCGTGAAAGGGAAGTGCTTCATAAAGACCAGCTCGCCCCTCACGTACAGTCAGGTCCGTCCTCTAGATTTGCTTTGTTGCACATAACTAGCTGATGACGGAACAGGGAGTTGCCAACTGTGTCACTGATGTGATTTACGTTGTTGCCCCCATCATATACCTGTCCACCATCCAGTTACCAAGGCGCACTCAATGGGGTTTGCGCATCGTCTTCTGTCTTGGCCTTATGTAAGTACCCTCCGGGATTTGCATTGACATCAACTGAGCTAGCCATCAGTGCGACCGCTTGTTCAGTTGCAAAGACCGTTGAGCTTTCCGCATTGATGAAGACAGCCGATCCAACATGGGACGGTGTCAACCTCGCCATCTGGTCCGCATCGGAACTCTCGGTCGGTATACTTGTCGCGTCTCTACCCGCACTCCGAAAGCAATTCGACAGCTTCTTCCGCCGCATTCTCTCGTCGACCTTTCTGGGAATGGGATCCAAGACGGGGTCTGATAGCAACGGAATACCACTGTATAACGTCGGACCACCCCTTACCGTTGGCAGCCGACCAACGAGAGGCCGTTCGCTATTCCAAAGAGACGGTCTCGATGATGGAGATAGTGAGAAGTGCATACTGGACGATTCAGAGCTGCCTGGAAAGCGCGAAATAACGAGAACGATCGTACATGAGATACGTAGTGAGGACAGGAGCAACGCACAGGTCCAAGATCGGGTACACAACATGTACGGCCAGCTTCAGTGAGCCTCCTAGGCTTAGCTGTCTCTTCGTAGCGTTTCAAGAGTATCCATTGTTGAGTAATCGGAAAATCGTCGCTAATGCGCGCGGGTTCCGTGGCAGTATGGCAATATTTTGAGTAACCTCGCGAAGGAGTAAGATTATGGCCGAAATTCGAAGGACAGGTCCAGGTGGATGTTAGGCTGCGGTGTGGACGATCTTCACATCGCGCAGTGCAGCACACGATTGAAGGAGATGTCGATATCCATGACGTCATCCACGGCGACCTCGGGGTCCCGACCGTCGTGTTCTCGACCTCACGGGACAGCGAGGAGGTGCGAGGATAGCGATTAAACAGACCCTTGTGGGTGTTAAAATATGCACGTAGCGACATAAGTGGTAGCGCTGCCTTGTTCCGAACAGCATTGGTATACCGAGAAACCGAGAGGCCGTTAGCGCGTGCCGCGGAAGCCGAGAAGGCAACCAGCGATTTCTTTTGGCGAACAGTAGATAAAGCAACTCGATATCGCATACAGAGACGGAACAATACCTTCAATACATTCATATCAACTCAGAGTACTCCGGCCACATTCCACAATTTACCATGACTTCTCCCGTTCTCGTTTTCGGCCCGACTGGAGCAGTAGGCAGCGCCGCTGCCAATGAAGCACACAAGCGTGGTGCCAAAGTGTACCTCGCCATGCGCGACACGAAGAAGCCATTGAAAGGCATTCAGGAAGAGGGAAACAGTGACAGCTTTGTCCGGGTCCAAGCTGATCTGGCCAAGCCCGAGACCATCAAGACCGCGGTCAAGACCTCTGGTGCCAAGACCGCCTTCGTATACGTCGTACACGAGGTCGAAGACGGCATGCGAAGCAGTTTCGAAGCGCTCAAGGAGGCCGGTGTAACCTACATTGTCCTCTTGTCTTCGTTCAAGGTCGAAGATCCTCTGGACTCAGAAGCCAACAAGACGGATATGATTGGCGCTCTCCACTCCGCAGCTGAAAGCGCATTGCGAGAGACTGGCGTCCCATACACCGCCGTCCGACCCGCATACTTCAGTAGCAACGTTTTCTGGTACACCGCAGACATCAAGCAGGGCGAGGTCGAGATCCTCTACCCCAACGTGCGGTTCGATTACCTCGCTCCCTCAGATATCGGCACTGTGTGCGGCACACTTCTCGCAGAGCCACGATTCCAGAAAGAAGCGGGGCAGTCGATCTACCTGTGTGGCCCTGAACTTCTGACCCAGCGTGAGGGTATGGCTGTGATTGGCAAAGCATTGGGGAAAGAGATCAAAGTCAAGGAGATTGACGAGGAGAGGTGGTTCAAGAAGCTGGCGCACATGCCTAAACCTATACTCGACACACTGGTGCGGGGAATGAGGGAGAGTGACGCCGGGAAGGATGATTATGGCAAAATCTACAAGGACGCCGTGGAGAACGTGAAAAAGTACACGGAGCGGGAGCCGACGAAGCTGGAGGACTGGGTCAAACAGAACAAGGCCGCATTCGCTTAGACTGAAGCTTACCACTAGTCGAGATAGTAACGAGACCCGAACAATCACAGCTGCGTCCTCTTCTGCATTGCGTGAGACCCTTGAACGAGTCCAAAAGCAAAGTGATCCGCGCGAAGTGGACACTGTCAGATAAAGTTGGACACGTCAGTCCAGATATGGACATAGCGCCCGCACGCGCGTGATCCCTGCATGACGAAGACAGGTGCCGATCACCTGAAACCCAGCAAGTTTCCGTCATCACGACCACGACCCAAACCCCACAATCTCCCTTTATTCTTCAAACCACGCACGACTGCCACCGGCGATAACGAAACATCACTACTACGAGCCCGAAACCCAGGACACCGGCGCAGTCATGGCCGCGAGCATCGAAGCATCGCCGCCAGCGCCTCCAGTGCCGTCGAAACACGCCCCAAACGAGGCGCATACCCCGAGCTGTCCGTCGTGTGGCAGTAGCATAGACATGGCCGAGTTGCAAGACGCGAGGCAAAGGATAGAGGAGCTCGAGGCGCAAATGGAGCGCCTGAAGGAGAAGGCTACAGCAGCTGGTACGCCCCCATTATGCGTCCGACGTCATATCACACCGGAGCCCACACATACTAACATCGTCTAGTCGACAGATGCGCCGACTACGAAGACCAAATCCGCAGCCTCCAAGCGACGCAAAACGCCCCTAAACTGCCCCGAACCCAAACCTCACAATCCGACATCCCCAACCCATCCTCACGCCCCTCCGTCGACGCCGATCCCCCACGTCCCACAACCGCAAACTCCACAAAGGCCTCCCGCTTCTCCTTCATCACAAGTCGCTTCCCGTCGCCAGCGAATACAGGTGGCATGCCTCCGCCTCCACCACCGAAAGACCCGTCCCACGCACCACCGGTCGACTATACCCTACTCAACGAGCTTGAGCGCGAGCGTGCCCTACGCGCCAAGGCTGAAGCACGTGTCCAGACTGTAGACTCCGAGATTGAAGAGCTGAGCGTACAATTGTTCAGCCAGGCCAACGAGATGGTAGCGGAAGAGCGACGGGCAAGAGCTAAACTAGAAGAGCGGGTTGAGACTTTGGAACGCAGGGACAGGGAGAAGATGGGCAGGCTGGATCGCTTGGAGAAGGCTGTGACGAGAGTGGAGAGAGTTAAGGCGCTGCTGGGTGAGAAGGAAGATCTGAAGAGAGAGTCGGTTAGCAGCGGGTTGTTGTCACCACCGGCTAGGAGGTGATGAGATTTTCGGCATTCTTGCTTGTTGCTGTTCCTCCGTGTCATTTGTTACGATACCCATTTAGTTTTGATCTACTGCATCTTAGCGTAGCGTTTGGCGTGGTTGGCTTTACAGTGGGTGCATTTTCCGGTGTCGGCGGTTGGTATCGGTATCTAGAGGGGTGGATCGTCCTGTGGGGAAAGCGAAAGACATAGCCTGCATTAACTATACAATATTGTACTCTGCATTAGCCATACGGCATTATACTCTGTAGGCTCTGTGTGATGAGATGGAAGCGGTTCTTGCTTCGTGACTGCCCGGGCAGAATACGACACCGTCATAAGCATTACATCACAACAGCTGAGAAGGTGGTAAGCCGACTCACCAAAGCGTCGCCAGGCATCAACTCGACTCCTCGCAACAGTAGACCCGATTGTGTAAATGTTTAGATGGCGACCCGACTATCTGCCATTAGCGATGCTGCTGATTTTCCACAGAGCACAAGCCCTCCCCCAGCGCAAAGGAATGCCAGGCAACACTGTGAGCTACTCAAAGCCGCTTACTCATCTCGTTGCTCTTCCAAGCCAAGCGGTTTTCCACACGACCAAACACACACCCGCAATTTCGAATTTGCGCGCCGACGCTCCTGCCATCTTCTCCCATCCCTTAGCACGCTTTTTTACCACCCGGCCAAAAGCTCCGCAAGACTCATAGCACTGCCACCGCATCCATAGCATCCATGGTTTCTCAAAACAGTGTCCGTGCAATCTGCCCTATGATTTCCAGAGCTTCACTGCGTATCCATGGCTCAGGGGAAGACATTGCTACTTCTCGTCTGGTCATAGCAACCTGGTCCTTGGGTCGTGCCATGTGCCTTTTGGTACTCAGTGTCTGGGTGAATGGCTTCTGGAATTTCGCATATGCGTCTGTGTAACGGATGATGGGGAGCTGTTGTGGCGTGTATTGTCTTGGTTTTCGAGCGCTGAATGTAGCATTGGGCATACTGAGAGCGCGATTCGAATGGATTGAGTGTGATACGTGACTTTGTCGCGTTGTAATCGCTGAATAATGGTGTCGATTCGCCTCGAGTCCCGCGAAAGAGCAAGACTCAGTCGCTTAGATCCAGTGGCCGCTTTCGCACAAGGACATTTCAGTCGTCCCTGTGACCAAAATGTGTGGAAATATAGACATCCATACTGGTGTCGGGTTAGTTGGCCGCGAAAGATGACTCTGTAGTGACAATACCCTCACCTCTTCCAAGGTTACGTCTGATTTTGCTATCGGTGACCGTCCTCTCATAATCATAGCAGCGACTCAGCTTCTAGTGTTGATGTTCGTGACATGGTTCTGTTGCTCATATGTTGGTCGCTCCATAGTATCTCTTTTTTCCCATTAATAATATCTTGCTGAAGACTCACAACCATTGTGGAGTCCTGCTGCGCCTTCGTTCTTATAAAACGCAGCGCATTCCTCTCTTCCCTTCTCTTTCTTTTCTTTAGCAGATATCCGACTCTTGACTCTACACATACCAAGTTAGATATCAAGATTGTCTTCGAACTTACCTTCAAGACATCCAACATCATCACCACCTCTGCTACCAACACACTACTACAACCACTACTACAACCACCATCACCAACACAAAAGTAAAGTCAAGTACTTTACCTTTCACCTTCAAGTGAGCTACGACTAGTACCTCCTAAACCCAAAACAATCCTAACAGCAATTCAGCATGCCCGGCTACTGGGACAAGAACAAGTGCGCAAGCGCCGAGGACAGGGCGGCTGCCATAGCAGACATGGAGAGGGTCGCTCAGGAGGCCAAAGCCCAATTCCAGACCCGCCAAGCCCCCTCCAGCCATGGCCTTGTTGGGTTTCACCGAAACGGGAGCGGCGATATGGTCAAGGTGATCGTCAACAACATGGCGTGGACGGAAGAGTTAATTCCTGCCGAGAAGCAGGATTTGGCGTTTGGTCACGTTTGGCTGCCCACTTGGCCGAAAGGGAACGCAGGGCCTTACAACCACTGGTCTGAATATGGCCAGAATCAGTCCGAGTTCATCCCGGTCATGGATTCGGATATTGGCTTCAACGAGGTCAATATAGGATTGACTGAAGGGATGAGATTCCTCCAGCTTAGGGAGGTCATACTTTCGGAGAATTCCTTCGGAAGGTTTTTCGAAGGCGTTGCGTCGTCTTCTCTCGATCCGGCTCGAGAGTACTTCACGATGGCCCTGGATGGTAGTGTCCAGGCACATCCTGCCCCTGCTCCCGCCCCTCAAGAGCAGCCCGGCAACCCCGCTGGAGAC